CAATATAAAATTTTTCAATAGTTGAGATGAACGTACCAAACAATATTTGAAAGTTTACATGCCATAGATTTCATAAATTTGTAATTATGTACATGTGATTGTAGAAGATGAATATGATTCACATATACCTTTACAGGGTGCTGCTAAGGTTTCAATACTAATGATTGGTCAGCAAGCAATTATGGATGCCTATCTTTGCCTTTTACATCTCACTGCAGGAATACTAGTTGGTAAGTTATGAATTTCACAACTTGAGGTTGTTCTCCAGACTATTCTCTCTCTCCCCTATCAAACATATTGAAGATCCTTTCTAAATGGAAAAGGGCTCTTAGTATCTTTACTGTGCCCTTAATTTTGTTGACTTAACCAGCAGGCTCTAAAAGTAATTTACCTTGTGGATACTCATTAGTGTAAGCATCCCAAACATTCATACCTGAAAACTGGTCAATTCCCCATGCAAAGAAGATTCTAGTTTGAACAATCCAATGCCTCCACTTTGTTATACCATATTTGCACCTTGTAACTAATAGAATAAAGAGAAACTATATTGAATTATTGAAAAACTGAAATGTAGCTAATCTAAAGAGACTAACAAACTGTAACTTACAAGGAGATAGTTACAGAGTATAACTGTCAATAGTCTTACAGAAATATAGACGTTATATTTACAAATACTCCAATCTTGACCAGATCTTATTACTCGTTCTTCAGTCCCTTTTCCGACATTTAGTTGTAGTTTACACATTACCGTATACAGCATCTAAAATTAATTATTGTATGTTCCATTTTAAAAGTTCAACAATTTTTAGGGGTGGGGGGACAGGGATTGTTCATGGTATGGGAAGAAGATTATTGATGCAAGTTGAGTAAGTTGTGCTGTGTTGCATTGGTGGTTGTAATATGTAATGTCCTAGTACAATTAATTGTCATTGTTCATTAGTGATTGATTATCCTTCTTTTGTAATAGTAAGATTGTTTGCTGAATGGTTGTTGCTGCCTCCTGCACTGCAGAATCCTTGTTTAATGCTTTTGCAACTGCTGCATTTTTCAAGTTTGTAGTCTTCTCAATATTTGAGATGAGATATCTCCTTGCAATCTGGAAGGCAGGTAGGCCTTTGAGTAATGGTGAAGGTTGGGAAACAATGAGGCGAGAACTTTCAGTTTTATACAGTCGTTTCTGTAAGTACTCATCTAGAATTAAATTTTCTGTCCTGCTAAATAGTTGTCTGATCTCCTCAACTTGAGTTTTCCTTTGTGATATTAGCTTCCTGGGATGCATAATCAAGTTTTTTTGTTTCCTGGGTTGTTGAGCGTTGATAGCCACTCTACTTACAGCCAGTCAGCTCTAAGTTAAACTACTTTTATTGCTGTTTTACTGATCAAGATTCAGTTACAGCTTTAGTTTATTTTTGACACCGGAATAGAAAAACTATGATGCTTGCTTAAAATTATAATAATTTCATGTTTTTTTTTTCATTTGAATTGCTCTTTAAAATGTCATTAAATAAGCAATAAATTTAATGTATTTTCATATTATTTATTTGGGCCAACATAAGTATTGAGAAGCTATGGGTCACCAAGCACTATTTTAGCTAAGTAATGGCAAATATCTCTCATAGTGCAGCATATACTTTTTTTTATTCAAATTAATCTTATTTATACCTTAGATTCTTGGTGTTCTCATAACCAAGTTTCTCCAACATATTCTTTGTATTAATATCTCTGAACTTTCTGTTTTTTACCGAGCCAAATGATGTCATGCAGTCTATGTAACCGATCTCACCTACTTTGTTCTTGTTGGTTGTATATTCCACTGTAGAAGAATGCCTAAGAAATCTAGCTATTTGTTTCTTGTTGTTTCAACTAATGGAGATAATTTCTTATGAAAAAGAGGGCCTCAAATTTAACAGTTTAATTTCTTCTGCAGATGGGATCTTGTTGGGAGGCATTCTACTTATGTATGAGTTCCATAATTATTTGAGACCTATTCTTCTTCTTATGTACTCTTTCTGGATACCTCAGATAATCACCAATGTTATTCGCGATTCGCGTAAACCCTTGCATCCTCATTATATCTTAGGGATAACCGTCACTAGGCTGGCAATCCCATTATATATCTTTGGTTGCCCTAACAACTTCATGCGCATAGAACCAGACAAGAGCTGGTGTGTTTGTTTGGCTGTATTTATTGGACTTCAAGCTGCAATTCTCCTACTTCAGCACTATCTTGGGTCACGTTGGTTCATTCCTCGTCAGGTTAGGCTCAACTACCTCTTTTGAATACTTTTATAACCAATTAACCATTAACGCACTCGCAATTCTTAATCATAGTTGCCTCTTCTAGAAGTCTGATCTTAAACCGAGCATAGCATAGCATCATTTGCTTCATGTGCCAAGCCCCATTGGGAAAATTCCTGTTATTATATACTTTAGCTGTAACCGAGGTTTTGGTTAATAATTTGAAGCATTTCATAGACATCCTTGACCCTAAGCATGATTATGTTGCAACCAGTAAGAACATTGTATTATCCTCATCATATAGGAATCTGGTTCTAGGCTTTCCTGAGTGAATTTAAATCATCATCCAGTATTTTGTTTTCTCTTTTTCATTCTGAATTTGCATGAATGTTTTATCTTCATGGCTTGCAGATTCTCCCTGAGAAATACAGCTATTATAGGAGGTTTGATCAGGAAACAAGACAGGCTACAGACTGTGTGATTTGCATGACAGCCATTGATCTTTCCCAGCGATCTAATGATTGCATGGTAAGTGATTATAAATATAAAGAATAAATTACTCAGACTCTTCCTCTGGTTTCTTAATATTGCATTCCATATCTTTTTAACCCTTATAGTAACCCTTTTGAAATACATTACACTACACTTCATGTTATCCAAAAAAACATTAAATCCTGTAACACTAGACAACTAGTGTGCAATCTCAAGAAACATGAGGAGTGTATATAATATAACCATAATTTTGTCAATTCAAATAAAACTTTTACTAATTGAGAGTGTTACACAGGTGACACCTTGTGATCATTTCTTCCACTTTGGCTGTTTGCAAAGATGGATGGATATAAAGATGGAGTGTCCAACATGCCGGCGCCCATTACCCCCTGCCTAGAGACCTTTCTTCACTCTCTATGTCAATAGGATCAACTGACCCTGCTCAACTTCATAGTCTAGTATATCTTTAAGTCACAAAGTTTTACATTTAATATCACCACACAACTGAAATCACACGGCCTTTGGTGCTCAACCTTTTTTCTTCTCATGTTCAGGACTCAATGTTTCTTCTGCTCATACAAATTTTGTAATTTGATTTTGCCACCTTATCCCAGATGCCGAATGCATGTAAATAATTTGGAAGGGCCTTGAACATTAATTGTATTTTTTTATCAATACAAAAATTTATTTTTATTCTTCCTTTGTGATTGTCCAACGTTAAGTTAAGGTGGTTTTTCAGTCGTTTGTCGTGTCTTTTTAGTCCATTGGCAATCCTCAAATTGTTTCCACTTGAGTGCATGATTGCATCATAAATAAATACATGATTAGTTTTCCTTGGACAGAATCCAGAGTGTAATTAAACCATGTGGCTGAATCAAGACATCCATAAACTGTATAAGAGCATTTTCAATAGAATTTTTTTATGACGTTTCTTTATTAATAAAAATATTATATTAATATGGATCCAATAAACAAATTCTTTAAAATAAAGAAATTTTCTTATATAAATAATTCTTTTTCGTTATAAGGAAATCATATTTCATGAGATCCATATTAAAATATGTTTATTGATAAAGTTTTTATTAGAAAATTTTATTAGATATGCTTTCACATTGGTTTGAAGTTTAATATTTCAGTATTTTTTTTTTAATGCTTATGTATGATCTATATTAATAAAGTTGTAATAAAAAAATGAATGTAACAAGCTAACTGGTGATAATCTATTTAATTTCATCCTTAGTTACTCGTCATATATCTTTCTTTTTTTCTGTTGTCTTTTGTATAGACACTTTGTAATGATATCTACAGGACAAGTCTTTATCATAATGTTGTTTCTCGTAGTTTACATCTAAATAACGTTTACCCTTAAACACTTTATTACACTTCCTTTTTGGTGATAACTCTCCGTTAGTTAAATCTCTAAGTTGTTAAACATTCAAACATTGGGGAATCTACCATAAAAAACTAATCTTTTAAGGGTGGGTTACTCAAGTGCTTCTACGCTTATCAATTAGTACCAGAATTGGTTGTTGATATCTTGCAAAACATGACCTTGGAGGATAATCATTAGTGGATGGTTTTGAGCAATGAGAGGTGAGTGAAGTGTCACCAAGCAGCATTAAATGAAAAATTGTCAAGACTTTGACTCCCAAGAATAGTGCTAAAATTTTACAAGTAATCTTAATTTACTATATTTACTCCCAAGAATATAATTTACTATGTTTGATGGATTATTTAAGTGTTTTACTATCTCACTTGATAGCTAATTTTTGTAGATAGTATTAGAAATACAGTTGCAATTATAACTCATTCTGAAGCTTATATTCAATTATAGTTTTAAGTCCTTCGTATGACTTCATTGTTAATCTTCTCTTATTTATGAAAAGTAAATTAACTATATACGAATTAATAAGGGAAGCTAAAAATATAATTGAAAATATAATCAACTTAATTTTGAAGTTTTATCTTTCAAAATTAAACAGATAAAATATATGAATAATACAAAAAGAAAGAAAAGGCAGAAGATTTTCCCACGGAAGTAATCAAAGAATGCTTCTCAATTCCTCAACAATTGTTCACTGATAGTAATATTTCCCCATTTTGACAGAAGAAACTCACATAATCCAAATGAGGAAGGAAATGCTGCAGGATTGTATTGTAGGGGTTAAATTTGTAGAACCAAAGCCACTGTAAGATAAAAACGCAAATAAATTTGAAGGTGCCAAAGACATGCAACTTCAATTAGACCCTTAAAACCTTCAACACAAACATGAACAAATAAAACAGTAGACTTCAACTGCATCAACCAAAATGTCTGAAAAAAATTACACGGATTATAAGCTTAACACGTAATATCCAACTAAAATTCAAGTTTGCAGGACTAATTTAAAGGCCCTACATTCGGGGAAAATTCAAAACCGTTTTTCATCGAAGTTATTCAAATGCAAAAGGGAAACGACATCACTGCTCCAGATCGTTATTGTCGTCATTATCTGTATCTTAACCTCCACCTCCAGAACCATATTTCTTTCCGAACACGATGAGCTGAAGCTTATCATAACCAGCAAGCACTCCGGCACCTGCAACAGCGCGTAATATGTTTGCACCGGCACCTTTAAAGAGTGACTTCGTACCCTCTTTTGCGATAATTATCTTGAATGCTTCCAAAGAACTCTTGTATTTTACAGCTTCTCCAGATGTCATCATCATCCTTCTACGCACCGTATCAATGGGGTAAGAGGCCAAACCAGCACCTATAGTGATTCCCCATCCCAGAAGAAAACTTGCAAAGAAGCTATCCTGTTAACCAGAAGAATAACTAACGTAAGTAAACATAAGAACATGTAGAATTGCATCATTAGGAAACTGTTTAAACCAAATCTGGTTAGGCATATCAACAAATATCAAGGAACCAGAAAACTATCAGCATATCTGTAGCAAGAACATTTAACTCAGTTGCTTGTATCACAAAATAAAACTGAAAAACATAAATCTATACAAAACTGAAATGAAGTATTTTTACCCAGGTAATAAAACAGACGAGATTTCAATTTCAAATTTTATATTTACCTGCAGTCCACCGACCAAGACAACTGGTTTCAAAGAATCATACATTCCAAAGTAAAGACCACGGTACACTATGATTCCAACACACGAGATGTTGAAACCACGGTAAAGGCCAGCAACACCATCAGACTTGATGGTTTTCCTGTAAACATCAACCAAACCATTGAACTGCCTCTCACCACCCTTCTTTGCAGCCTTTGCATCATTTGCTAGACGAGTTCGAGCATAATCCAGCGAATAGACAAACAAGAGGGAGGAAGCCCCAGCAGCCCCACCGGACGCTAGATTCCCAGCAAACCACTTCCAGTAGCCATCTTTATCCTTTTTGAAGTTGAAAAGCCTCTTGAAATAATCCTTAAAAGCAAAGTTCAGAGCCTGAAAAAAAAATAACAAAAGAAAGCATTACCGATACAGTAATAACAAATAGATACTGCAGACTAAACAGCAAAATGTCAAACATAAATTTGCATCCATCACATCAAAATCAAATAAAAGTAACAGGAGGGATGCAAATTAAAGAGAGCTAGGACTAGAAGTATATTCTAAAATCCTTTCCCACAAAGCATAAACTACTCTGAAAACAGAATGACACTATGAACAACACTTCAGAAGGACAGTGTGAAGAACAAATATGCAGAGCCACTGGGTTTAATGTGAAGTTCAAAAAAAATTTCTATCCTGCATAGATCCAGGAAAAATATACTGGCACATATGTAGGTATGAGTTTTGTAAATGTGAAACAAAAGGAAAATATAGACACTACAGAAGTACAACATCATAGACAGTGTGAACAATATATCAGATGTCCCATGCTTAATATTAAAAAATAAATAAGTAAAAATCAAACAACCTAACCTACATTCCAACTTCACAGGAAAGAAAAGTCACCTGAGTAGGGAAGTATCTGATAACATTAGCCGTGTTTCCTCTCCAAAGAGCAATCATCCCTTCATCCTTCATGGTTCGGGAGAAACAATCACCAATTCCCTTGTATGGTTCAGACAACCGACCACTCTTGATCATTTCATCCTGGTTTTGGATGAGTAACTTGACTCGCTCGATTGGAGCTGCAGCCGTCTTGGACACAGCAGCTGACACTCCTCCCATGAGGAAATCCACCAAAAATCCAGACACCCCTTTCTCAGCTGGCGCATGTGCTGTGACTGGAACCAAACCCAGAGACTGCACGCCTCCATTGAAGTAACTACCACTGGTAGAAATGTTTCCGGAGTGATTAGGAGCAAGCCTGGACATAAAGTAAGACTGTCCAGATAACTTCTGAACTACAGATGGATGCCGTGAATGCAATCCATCCGCCATCGCTGCACTTCAAACGGTTACCTATCAACATTTAAACAAAAATCACATCAGCAGTGACAGAAATTAGAAAGAAAAAAAAAACTCGGGTACGGTTGATTCCCTTCTCATTTCTCAGATTTCAAAAGTGTTCTCCGATACAATTTAATGTACTCAGCAAATCCCATCCAAAAATCTATCAAGATCTTAAAATTGTTTCCAAAAAAGATTTCTAAAAGAAAATAGAGATCAAACAAACGATTGTCCTTTCTAGCAGCCTTGCTATGATTCATTCACTTAACCTACACATCCAAGATCTACAGATACAGACAGATAAATTCTACATCTATAAAGAAGATCAGAAGCAAAAGAAACAAAATCCGGAACAATTTTAAGTTCAGAGTGAGACACTGGTACTTCAAACCGAAATGATTGGTTATAGCTTACTATCTAAGCGAACATAACGAAAATTATAGAAAGATAAACAAAAAAGAGGGAATTATTAAGCTTAATAATAAAACATAAAATAGATCGAAAATAAAAGAATGCAGATCTTAAAGAGGAAGGGGAAAATGAAGTAGAAAATGGAAAGAGAAATACCCAGAGAAGGGTTTGGAAGGAGGCTTCGTGTCTTCCTCTGATCGTCAGCGAATGGAAGGAGACCACACTCACCACCGAATAAATGGGAGTTGTATTAGGGTTTTATTTAATGACTATTTTACCCTTCCCACCTTCAGTATCAAGATAATATTTTTTTTCCAGTTTTTAGATTAACTTTTATATATAATAAATATTAAAAAAATCCAAAATTCTAACAACACAAAGAAAATAGGTGAAAAATGAGTACAAATAAATTTTATTTAGTTTAAAATAAATAAGTATGGAAACAATTAAAATTGAGACTGTCTTTATATATTAGTAAAAACATATGGGTTATATGTGTTATTTTTTTTATAATAATAAAAAATAAAATAAAATTATTATTATTGTTAATTTTATAATTATAAAATTTAGTATAAGTAATTTTTGTTTTTTTAGATAATTTTTTAATTAAAAAATATTAAATCGAAAAAGAAAATTAAATATATAAAAATGGAATAAAATTTGAAGATAAATATAGATAAATTTATTATTAATTATGCATATATCGTTATTTTAAAAATTATTATGTAAAAGATTATAATTGATTATATTAACAGCATAGTTTTTTTTTGTCTTTGTATTTAAATATAATTTTTTATTTTGGACATCATAAATAATAAAAATATAAAAAAGAAGACTATGCTTAAGAATAAAAACACATAATTAATTATTTTCCCAACCAATCAATAATTTTGCAAACAAGTATATTATGTTACATTTTCAATCATTTTTTAATATTTTTTCTCCTCATTTTTATGTGGAATTTTTTATTTACAAGCTATCTTGAAATGTTGCAAACATAGTCTTAAAAATGTTAGATACATTTGTTGCAAGGTTTTAATGTAAACTGAAAAAAAAAATCACTGTAAATATAATTTTCAAAGTTTTTATTATACGGTTTATTGATAAATGTAATAAAAACTGTTAAATTTTAAAATACTTATCAACTAATTATATTTGTGTGTATGTTTAGATAATTTATGATGAAAAACTCCAATGAAAAAGTGTGGACAAGTTAAACTTAAACTATTTAAATAAAATATTTCATTTATATGACATTGGTATATATAGACATACACCAAAGATAGTAATTATTATGCGTTGCGTTGTTTCACAGCACTGCTGAACTTTTCCTCAAGTGAAGTCTACTCTCTTTCTCAAGTGAAGTCTACTCGCTTGTGACAGAGAATTCAGCAACCCAAATATAAGTTATTTTGTTTTAGGCGTGGTAAGGTTTAAAATCGAGAATTTTTAATTTTTTAATAAATTTGTGTGATTTATTAAGTATTTAATAATTTTATATATTTTAATTAGATTTTTTTTATATTTTTTTATTAATTTCCTAATGTGACTATTAAATTATTAATGTAGTTGTTATCTTATCGTAACAACCTTGTCATTCTATTTATTTTATTATTTTATAATTTTATAATTTATATTTTTATAATTTTATAATCTTATAATCTTTTATTTTATTATAAAATTTAAAAATAATAAAATAATATGTGATGACAATTTAGTAAGACTACATGACAAGATAATAATAACTCACTTACATTATGGTTAATAGAAATTTTAATAGTAAGATTTAATGGAAAAATATAAATTTATTAAATATTCAATAGATTGTAAAAATGTATTAGAGAATGATTTGAAAGTTATAAAATTATAATCTTGGAGCAATCAAAAATAAGATTAATTATGCTTTTGTTCCCTAAATTATTAAGTCTTTTTTTTAGTTCTTTTTTCAAATTTTTTATGTGGTAAATTGACGTGTCACGTCTCCAACCTATTTAAAACATGTGTATTATTAATATTGACACGTGAAAAATAAAAAATTGAAACAATAACATAGTTGTTGAAATTATGATTGTTTTGAATCAGATTTAGGAAATTTTAAAGAGATTGTCCAAGGTCATTCAAAAATTTGCATGGTTGTTTACACAAAAGGGATTTAACATTTGAAAATTAATGAAAACGATGAAGAGAAAAAGATGTAATTTCTGGAGTTCGTACTGGGGAAGAAATGTAAGTTCATTCTTTTGTCTTTATGAGAATGGAGGGTGGGATTGGGGATCTAGGGTTTATGCATGTAGGATTTTTCATTGTTGTGAGATTGTGGTTGAATTATGTGATTAATTGGTAATTTAATTTGCAAATCAGTTTTGTAATGTGATGAAATATGAGAGTAGAAGATTTGGTTCTACGTGGAGGAGCATTGGTTCGAGAATGTCGCAAACATGTGATCTTATTCACAATTAACATCAAACGTTTGTGTCTAGGTGAACCAGCGATAACGGAAAGAATCTAGGCAAGTTTCACTCCCTCATTGGTCGTGTCGATCTCCAAGCCATCGAAAAAGAAACTAGTAACCCCAATATGAGCGACCTTATTCTTATCTACATTGGTCGCATTATTAGAAGAGACAAATCTTAATGTCAACAAGGATGAGGCATCACCATCATATCCCCAACTGCCCTTTCTCGAAGACTCCTCAAACTATTACAAGTTGACGGTCGACATTATTACCTAAAAAGAAGATGAACGCTCGGTTAGCAAAGAAGATTGAGGAAAATGGTGAAAATGGTAGGGAAGGCCCACCCTTATTTATAGCAAAACGACCTCCCTCCCGTCGAACGATATTGACCGTTGGATCAAGCCAATATCCTATAATCCAGGTTATGTGACCCTGCGGATTCCCTCAGGCACGAACCATGAAACGTTACACACCTTTTTTCTAACAGTCATTTTTTTCCAATTGTTTAGAGATTCCTGGACGGTGGAGAACGAACAGTCTTAGGTGTCATTGATACCTACTAGACTGAGCAACCACCGTTGCATGTTCAATCACAAACCCTTTCACCAGTTATCGCAGGCTCTGGTTGGGGTGCTTGTGTACCATATGATCGTCTAGTTAGCAGTTGACCAAGTGGTCAACCCTAACATCTTAAAGCAGTTCACCTAGAAACTGAACATTCATTAGCTAAGGGAGCAAATCGAATGGTAATTCACCTAATGACGATCAAACTCAGATAAAGTATGTTTACAGGTAAAATATATTTATCAAATGATTGGGTCGTAATTAGGTCAATGCTAACTAAAAGCTTATTTTGAAACCTATAAATACAAGTTTAATGTAAGGAGATAGGTAATTGCATCTATTGCATTGTCAAGAATTAACTCTGCTTATCGAACAATCATCTACTTACTTAAGCATCGAAGTACCTTTTGTAGGTAATTCCGTCGCACGGTCCAAAGGAGTAAAGGAGCAAAAATTGTGATTGCAAAGTAGTTTAGAGGTTATTTAGAGCTTAATGTACAAGACATTAGACATCAACTTCGCTCTCGAAACAATGCATGTTACCATTTCCTTCATTCTAACATGGAGTTGCATTAAATTGGCTCGTAATCAAATTGCTTGATCAAATTGCTTGATCAAATCACTAAATTTTACACAGGTAGCTTTGCGACTTGATGAGTTTTATCACAAGTTCATTAAATTTGCTTCATTTATTTACATCATGAGATAACGAAAATAAGATATTTAATGATGTTTTGTTGATTTAATGATGGATCCATATTATGCAACCTTCTTACATACTTTCATTAAATTTATTTATACCTTTTGTAAGGCAGAGGCAAAAAAGTGAAGAAAAGGTTTGCATTTTTGAAAAAGAGATCAAATCAAATGAAGAAAATAATAGAGAAAGAGTAAAGGAAGCGATGGAAGAGGTATATAAATATTTACTGATTAATTATTTATAATATGAAATATTTTTATTATTTTATTTGAAATTTATTATTTAATTTTTTTAAGTTTCGGAGATATGAGATTGAAGACTAAATTGATGAATTTGGTTAAAACTTTTCCTAATCCAAAAAGGCTAAAAATTGTACGGCATAATAAGTTACGTATAATAATAAACTTGTCTTTTACCGTTATTTTGTAAGTGTTTACTCTCTGAAAACAAGTATACAACTTAAAATAAGTACTCAAAAGAATTTACACATAATCGAAATTTACAGAGAACCTTTGTGTTAACTTTTTGGCAAGTATACCAAATCGTTCCAAGTAATATAGAGTAAGTTCAGAGCATCGTTATCCCAAATGACTTGTACAACACATGACAATTCTTCCTTTTATAACTCAATTAGATTTCAAAATGCACAAAACAACACAATAAACTTTTTTTGTTATTTTATCAAACAGTTGGTGTGCAATGAATTTATATTTAAAAGAAACTTCGTTGGAATTGGGTTTCATGAATCATATGAAGATAAAACTATGTACAATATATTATTATTTCTTCAAACATTCACATCAAGGCATACTAGTCTTAATCCCTTAGCAACTAGTCTAAATTTATATATCAAAATGTTAATCTCTCAGTCAATTTAACATACAATTTGCAATAAGTCTGATGCTAAGAATGACCAAGTTATTGATTCTATCCCTATATCCCAAATCACTTAGGTGCTTTATCTATGTCTATGTTCAAATTTACTTTCCAGTAATCAGAAACATTCAAATAACATTATATTTTCATACAATGATAGTAAATTCAAGAAAGAGCATATGAACGAACAACGGTATATTTAACAGGAAAATTACATAGTGAGTTCATTACATCCAATTCCAACGAAAGAAAAATTTTACTACTTCATTACTCTGTCCGAAACTTCCCCCTTCTCTCTTTTTGTCTGTCTAGAACTTAAAAGCCAATTCTGATTTAATTAATTTGCTCAGCGCACAATTAATATGCGTTGAGTGAATAATCAACTACATATTCTTTAATTGTCCATAATTCACTCAGCGAATTATTTTGGTGCGCTGAGCGAATAATCATCTTTTTAGCTGAGCGATTTAATGTTGGCTTAGCGAGAAACATCTGACAACACTCCACTTTAATGTATACATTCCTGTACAATTTACTACACACTTTCCTACTTCCTATTACAACTTTTTCTTTGAGAAAACACATTATTTCATGAATAAATACAAATTTTGAGTTAATTAATAAGTCTGAAAACATGTATTTTTCATACTTAAAACTTCGCTATGTGCTTTGGGTCATCAGAGTTTATGGGAGTAAAGG